TTTCCAAATTTTCATTTGACAATATTTTAGGCATAGGAGCAGATATGATTTTAATTCCAACGGCATATTGATCTATGGGTGCGTTCCAAAACAGGTATGCAAGCAGTTTTGGTTGGCATTTTAGTCATACCTATCATTGTTTCAAGACCACTGTGTGTGCCTATACTTCAGGGCAAAACAAAAACAAACGTTTTACAAGTGCTTATGGCAAATTTCAGAAAAATAGCCAAAAAAGTATGCATTTCACAAACGATTTTCGGAACTTGTCTGTACATACATACGTGTCTGCCGCACACTTTTGTGGGAAAACGGATCGTCAAATGGAATTGGTAAAGGGACTTTTTCCTTTTTCGGATCGATTTTCGGATTTTTTGCTGCCTGGGTTAATAAATGGAGAAATATTGAAAATTTCTGCTGAATGCCTTAGTAGGTATTCACTCCTTCGTGGCTATTATAGTATTTATACGGTTTGGGCCCGAACCACGGCATCTCTGATCGCTCCAAATCGAGCGAACCAAAATTACATCTGTATGTTCCAATACATGATTCAAGTTCCAATAGAATTTAAATTTGGATTCGAGTTTCGTTCGATGACGAAATTCTATACTATTTATTTTGAAGTTAATATTCAAACTAGCTTATCAATACATTCACTTTCAGAAATGACTCTGCCCACCGCATTCTCATCAGCTATAGATTACTTTAGAGCTTCGGTTGATTTTCTAGACGCACATTCTTGGATCTATCATACTGCCAACACCCGATTTATCAAAGCTGGAATATTGGAAAAATTCCCTCATGATTATGTGGAGTATTTTCTACATTTGAACAACAGCGATTTAAATAAATTTCCCTTTTTGTACGAATGCGATGAAATCAATAACGGTATTAACTCTTCCGCCTTGCAAACATTTCGCTCAACACTTCGCAAGCTTATACCTAAGGAAGCGTATGATCAACCAAATGCACAAAGCCTGGCGAAGACCTTACCGATAAATCGGCTGCGAAAAATTAGTGCTAAGAAGCAGCACGAAATTATACAACTTTCTGAAGTTATACTCAGTCACTGTGGCGATGTTTCCTTGTTACTTGACTTTGGTTCTGGCTTGGGATATCTCAGCGAGTCGTTGTGCCTCGTTAACCAAAACTGGTGTATTCTTGGATTAGAGGGCGATAGTTCTCGTGTAATTGCTGCACACAAACGTCTGCAAGTGCTGATGCCGGAAGCCAGGAAGCGTGTCACCTACAAGGAACAGTTCGTTGAAGCGAACGCCGGTGAAGCTATTAAGCATCACATAGCTTCTAGTGGATTCGAAGATTTGCAGACGTTGCTCGACAAATGGGCAATTATAGGCTTACATGCATGTGCTGATCTTAGCGTGACAGCAATCAAGTTATTTTTTGAATTGGCATCAGTTAAATGTTTGGTCATCATGCCCTGTTGCTATCACAAACTGCAACATACTCCGGATGGCAACTTCGTAAACTTTCCACTCAGTGCTGCCTTGAAAACAGCTGCCGCAGAGAAAGACTCCAAAATACAAAGTTATTTTAATCGACCATTTTTACGTCTAGCATGTCAAGAGACTAGTGCACGTTGGCGTAACTGCTCAGAGAAGGAGCACCTGGCGCATGGAAAACAAATGTTTTGGCGCGCTGTTGCTGATGCCATTATAGACGATGCAGCTGTTGTAAAATGTCAACAACCTATTAAAAATGTGTGTCAAATAGAAAGTTTTGCAGGTTTTTGCCAACACTATGAACAGAGATCAAAGGAAACGGATGCGCAGCATCTAACTGTGCGCTTGTGGAATGAGGAACACGAAGAAAAATTTAATAAAATTTTCAATAGCTATGCTGATGTGGGACCGAAATTGGCCGAAGCTTTGACATGTCTGCAAACAACATTACAGGTCAGTGATTTTTATTTACAAATGCATATCGCCGTTTAAACAATAAAACCGCGTATCAACAAAATGCAAAACCGCGTATGTGAGGTTGCATAATTTATTTTCTATAGAGTAAATACACTCGTATTCCAAAAAGGTTCTCTCTTTTATAAAGCAATCGCATTTCAGGCTAGTATATTTCAGGACGAATGGATAAAGCTTGAGCCAAGAGCTTGAGTGAGCAAATCCAATTTTTGGCAAAAAATGTCAGTTATGCGGTTTCGCAGAACGACGATACGCGGTTTTGTTCTTTAAACGACGATATGCACATATATAAAGTACAGTTAAACGTAGCGATGGAATCACCTCGCTTTCAAATTTTGCTGTCTAATTACGAAAGCAAAAATCTCCTTTTCCGAGTAAATATAGTAATTTCAAATTTGTGTAAAATTACACAAAAATTGAAGAAAAATTAAAATCACTCGTATTTAATTTATTTTCCCGAGATGTAGTATTCAAATATTAATTTACATATGTATGTATGTATATACATTAGGGTGGTACTTAAAACCCCAATTTTTTCAGTCTCACCCTCCCAATCGGTAATACCGCGGACACAGATATCACGTATAAATTTTGGTCCCGATTGGAGTCGGTTAAGGCGTGTCCAAAAGGGATAATATGCCAGATGCCTCTATGGAATCAAAAAATTAATTATTATTTTTTCATTTAATAACCAAAGTCCATATTACTGAAGCCGAGCATATCACATATAAACTTTGGTCCCGATTGGAGTCGGTTAAGACGTCTTCATAGGGTAATCTGAACTTTGACCCCTGTGCGACACGTTTTAACCGACTTCAATCGGGATTAAAATTTATATGTGATATCTTCGCCTATGGTAGTCTCGATTTTGGGTATTAGATGAAAAACACTAACTTAAATTTTTTTAGTCTCCATAGAGGAATCTGATCTTTGTCCCCTCTGCGACACACCTCTCCAATCGGGACCAAAATTTATATGTGATATCCTCGACTAAGGTAGCATTGACGTAGGAGTTGAGGCTTAGGAAATCTGATGTAAAAATTTGCTTCTTACATTTAAGGACCACCCTAATATACATAAATGTGTTGTTGTACATAAGACCACGTCAAAAAAAATTAATTATCTCTCTAGGGTAAGCGTCAAGCCTTTAGTTTTCCCATAGGAATTTCACGTAAAAAATGAGTTCTTTCCTTTTGAGTTAAATATAATTTTCTAGCATCAATGAAAACGCTCGAAACTGTAAGAATACATTAACTACATGCCATTTAAGTATTACGCAGGCTCAGATTATTATAATTCATAAATTATGCTTTTTTAATTCCTTGTCCTATTTGGGCCCACTCTAGTATATACCAATATTTATTTATTTATTTTTTTGGAATTTAAGGAATCTGTGCATGCATAAAACATAAACGGCGTGTAATCAATGTGTTCTTACAGATTCGAATGTTTCATTGATCCTTGAAAATTATATTGACCTGAAAAGGAAAGCACTCATTTTCTTAAGTGTAATTCCTTTGGGAAAACTAAGAATATGAGTACATATTTGCTTACTTCCCAAGCCATCAGAAACCATTTCATTATTTCCGTATATTTCAGGGAGGTGACTTTGATCAGCTGTTTTGTAGGCAAATTTATTCCGCAGAAATTAGCAGCTTAGACTCAAAATGAAAAAAGGCTGACTATTAAATGTACGAATACAATGTTTGGATTCTGTTCTACCGCGTAAAAAAAAATATATATATACTGACTATGTGAGCAGAAACATTTTTGCCAAAAATGGTCTCGTTGGGTGGCGCCAGGGTCGATATATTTTGAAAAAAACGTATTTCTGCCCTGATTTGTTACATATTTGGCATGTTTGGTTGAAATGTAATAAGACATTGATTTGCAAAAAATTTAACCGCTGATGACGCTGATGTCAAAATAAAAAGTACCTTCGTTAAAAACCCTTTCAAGAACAATGTTAACCAAGCTTTTTTTGATGGAAATTTTAGTAACGTAACGCCAGTAACGTCACGCCAGATACTTCCGCTGATTAGACAAAAAGCAGAAAACATTTATACATTCATTTAAAACCTGGAAAATTAACCTTAAATATATTTCCAATATTACTACAAAAACTTGTATGCAAATAGTTTTGCCAAATTTGCAGAGTTTTGCAATTTTGTAATCGAAGTCAAAAGCCACTTTTGTTTTTTGTAACGAGATGCCAGCGCGTAAGTTTACTAATATCTTTAAATCGCTACTACCAACAGTTGTAATTTTTTTAATGAATAAGGGGCCTTTTAATTGCTATGCAAATCTAGAAAAACCTGTTTAAAATTTTGACTTTTTCAATACTTTTTTTAACATTTTTTAACAGATTTGCGTAGCATTGATTTTCAGATTTTGAGTTTTCAGTATCGTCGCTCGTATGCCAGAAACATGAATGTGTAAAAATAAAAATTTTGGGAAATCAAATTTGATAGTTGTTTTTTACTAGACTTACAGCCTTATTGCGTAAAAGCTTAAACAGACGGCAGCGTTGATCCGGAGTAACTCGGACTTAATCCGGATCAACAGCAGTTAATTCCCGAGTTGATCCGGATCAATGCTGCCGTCTGTTTATGCTTTTAGTCGTAAATTAGGCTAAATTGTACGACTCGATAACATTGGCATTGTCTACTGTCGTGTTGAAATAAGAAAACCACGAAAATCTTCGAAAACTTTGCAGTGCTGCCAAGTTTTTCCGTTTTAATACACTAATCGCGTCGAAATTTTAGGCAATGACATGAAATTTTCGATACGATTCGAGTCTCGAAAAATTCCTTGCATTCGACAGGACTCTCGCAATGAGACTGTTAATTCTACATTTATAACATAGAACACCCAAGGGTTAATGAAATCAACTAAATAATTCGGAACTGATAAATTTGCACATTCATGCTTCTGGTGCATTGTTCAAATTTTCGTTCAACTTTGTGTTGAATGCGAGAGTTGAATAGTGGAAACGGCCTTTCATCAAATCACCTTCAATGAGGTTGGTCGACAGCCAACTTTCGTTCAACTTTTGATTCAACTAATCGCATGTTAAAGTTGAACAATGCAAACACCAATTAACAATGAAAGAAAAGAGCCAAGAGACTTATTTTCTTTTAAACTTTTGGATAGTTTTCTAACTCAACTTACTTAATATAGATATATGAGCGCCGCTATAATTATTCGCCATTAAATTTGTGAAGTACTTAGAGATTCTCTACTAGGGCAGCATTGAGACAGGGTAGCCATAATAGATTTTTTTTCTGTGCCACCTCATTCGTGGTGTTTATTTGCCTTTGGATGTGAGATGTGTATTTAATGAATGTTTCTCTCCTATCAAAATACCATTTTGTTCGCCAAATTTTCGATTGCTAGCGAAATTTTTGGTGGAATTGAAATTGGTTTTGTGATAGTTTTTAACACCACGGTGATAAAACAAATCACGAAATATACCCGTTACAAAACTCTGTGCAGGTTGTAGGTAGGGTCGAGGACAACATGCAAATAGGGGTTTCTTATAGTTCCTGATGCACCTATCTATTAATAGCTTGACCATTTTTCATCCGATTTTAAAAATTAAAAGTGTTTAAAAAGGGAATTTATAGACCTTTAATGATGTACAGCCATAATTTGTTAGACTTAGATTCTTGGAAGTTTTCAACGGGCAAAATTAAAAAAAAAAACCCCTTCTTCTCTTAATTTTTTCAACTTTGGCCGTCGCTAATTAAAAATTTTTTTTTGTGAAAGTTGCCAACTATCTAGTATTTATCTAGAAGTACATTTATTTCGTATAAACTGATATCTCGCCTAATGCAATCACATAAAAATTTAAAGTAGAAATACGGCCCTGAATTTATATGTGTGTATGTACCGGGTTTTCCGATTTTTTTGAGCAGTGCAATTAAGGAATTCATGAATATTTACTCAAAACTGATATATACAGTGGCTCTTTAGCAAAAAAAAAAATGGGCCATTGTAAATATCAATTTTGAGTAAATATTGACGATGGTCAAAGTTGGAAAAATATAGAAAAAAGTGGCGGATTTTTCACTTTTACCCGATGAAAACTCCCAAAAAGGTAAAACGGTGTTCACACAAGGCGATTTTCAGGCAATTTTAGAGGCGTTTAGTTGAATCAAAAGTTGGCTGCCCCCCAACATCATTGGAAGCGGTTAGTTGAAAGGCCGTTCACACCAGGCGATTGCTGCTTTCAACAAAAAGTTGCGTATAAAATCGCCTCATGTAAACACCGTATAATACTAATAATGTATTGTTGAACATAATTTTAAGAGCCTATAAATCCCCTTTTCTAAACATGTTTGGTTTGTAACATCCGATAAAAATAGTGGAGCGTTTAATAGATAAGTGCATCAAGTACGAAAATAACGTTTTTTTGTATAAAATCTAAGTGGAGGGTACAGCAGCTAAATACATATAAGAAACCTCGTTATCCTCGACCCTACCTACAACCCACACTAAGTTTTGTTTGGGGTGCATTTCGTGACTTTCTTTTTGTAGCACCGTGTAATTACTGTTTTCCCGCATATGTATAATCAATCGTATAAATTAATTCATATTTGAATAGCGCTGGGACCACTGCAGCTGTGATTTTTTTATCAAGTTGTATTGTATTGTATTATTACAATACTTACTATCATGCGAAATTTTCTTCTTAATGCTAATTCTGTTTATATGCACCGCCAAAAAATATTTTACCTGACTAGATATTTATTTACAAAACGTACCACTTCCCCAATAAACAAGGAATAAAATTGTTTATTATGTATGTAGTCATTATTAAAAACTTATTATTAAGTACTGAAATAAAGTTATAAAGACTCCATTAAAAAAATCGCATTTTCATTTTAATTTTTCTAATAAACATTTTTCGTACAAGAACGCGAAAATGTGGTGCATACTCTGTATGTAGTCCTTTGGTTACAGTATAACGTTAATAACAAACATTTGTACTGTCTTAAATTAAGCATTATAGATAGTAATTGATGAGAAAATAATTTACTTCCACTAGATCAAAATTAATAATAATTTTCCTCCCTAGAAACTGTGCGAGAACATTGTGCTTTACGACCGATTATGTTACATGCAGGAATTTGCTGATGCGCAACCAGATTTGAAATTAAATGTACAATTTCAAAAGATTCTGGATGAGAAGTTATCACCACGATGCTATGTCTTAATTGCCGAGAAGTTATAATGCTGCTGATAGCGAAAGTGAAAGTGAAATGGGCTTAGACACGAGCTGTGTACTGTGTTTATATATGTACATACATACATACATACATATGTATGCTTGTATTTACCTGTTTTAAGTTTAAAACGTATTCGCTGCTATTACTCTTCCGAAAAGCTTTCAAGTTCCAGGTATAAAAGCACCTCTTATAATACAATTAGCTTTGTGGCGTACTTACAAAAAATATGCAGTTACATATACAAACGTACATATGTATGTATGTATGTTTGAATAAGCATACATATACTAACTATAACGTTGAAGTACAATATTTAAATGTATTTGACTGGGTTTACTAAAGGCTGGTTTTTGCTAATGTTAAATTCAATTGCAAATATAGTAAAATACTCGTAGCGCTTTTAGTTTTTCACTCTGACGTCAGATATTCGAAAATGATTTAAAAAATTCAGTGAAATGTGCTTAGAGAAGAAGTATGAGTATCAAATTATAGAGGAAATCCTATAGAATTTAAGCAGATTCAACTAAACTCTATATTTTAACAGACATTTCGTATATAATAGAATTTATTCCCATGAGAACAATTTGCAAAGTGAAAGGCTAAATAGCCTAATTCTCAAATTTTGAAAAACCATCGATGTTTCAGCATTGAAGCATGCATTGAATTTTTTAAATAATTTTTAGAATTAATCGTATCTTTGAAATTACAAAGTCATTTAAAATAAATCCTGACGTCGGAGAGAAAAAATAAAAACGCCACTTTAAATTAGAAAAGTAAGTTTCCAACCCATTTATTTATCATTTATTTTATGGTAGGAGAGCTTCTAAGAATTTGTTAAACCGCTTCTGAATTTTGAAAAGTAAAATTGTCATTTTTAACCGACTTCCAAAAAAGGAGGAGGTTATCAGTTCGTCGGAATATTTTTTTTTATTTTTTTTTTATGTATGTTACCGCATAACTTTGCACCACGTCAACCGATTTTTGCAACGGAAAGGTAGTGTCTCAGAGGTGATCCCATACTAATTTGGTTTAGATCCGATCATTGGATCCTGAAATATATACATAGATATATATATATTTTTTTAAGTCGGTTTTTTTTTTGCTAAAAATTACTTGTTAGTATATTCTCTTATCGGATCTCTCTTTCTTTTTTTTCAATATATCGACACTCGGATGTTGTTTGAATGTAGAAGAAATAAAGAAGTCCCTTCATAATTTTACCATGATCAAAGAATGCAGATAATAAGAAGAAGGGCAACTCTTTTCATCCAATCAAAAAATATGCTAGGACAAAAGAGAAGGCACACCCCTGTTGCACGCTTTCGCTACAATTATAACGAGTTGTCCCTTCTTATTATCTACGTTCTTTGCCATGATCATATTCGAATAACAAATAATCAAATTAATTTATAAATAAATATATATAAATACATTTAATTTTAAATAAATGCGTTATTTGATTGCCTTTTTACTATGAAGTTCTGGAACTGCTTTTTAAATTTTTTTTTTATGTGGTTGGAATTACATAAAATATGGGTGCGTTTCAGCTAGTAATCTAAGCCGAAAGCAGGATGAAAATACCGTTACTCCGCGGCTGTGGTTGCAAGTTCAAAGGTATTCCAGAATTTCTCATTACGTTTTATCAGAAATTTAACCAACCAAAGAATCCTCTGCAGCACTTCCGAATTTATAGCACAAATTACTATTATTCCTATCGAAATCTATATATATATAATCTATGTATATAAAAGATCTGTACGGTTCGCCCGATTTTCAAAAATGAGGTGTCAAATTAAAGCGCTTGGTCTGTAGATGTGCAATAAGGTTTTACTTTTTCGGAAAAAGAGTTGCCACCTGATAAAGAATTGCATTCAAATAATTTAATAACCGCCCGTTCGATTTTCAAAAGTGAGGTACCACTTTTTTGAAAAAAGTTGCCACCTGTTAAGAAATTAAGCTCAAATTAATTAAAAACTTAATTCAGTTATTAAATATGAGTATCAATCGAAATGGTTATGAAACCACGTATAGGAGGGTTGCCACATATGAAAAAAATATAATTAAATTTTAATTAAAGGAATTTGGTATGTGAATAGGGTATCGCTTATGGGTGTCATACAAAAGAGGTTTAAGGCTCTGTTATGCATACGTGGCATTGCATGCACTGCTATACCATTTTTACGTAGAAATCAAAAAAAAACAGACTTTTACGTTTGTAATGCTGTGCGTTGGGTAACCGCTTACACGCGAAGCTCATTTAACAGATTCCTTATGTGACAACGCTCAAGCAATGCCAAGTATGCATAACGGAGCCTTTAAGAAGGTAGTAGTTTGAAAATATTTTGAATAGGGTTGCCACCTTTTGAGAAGTCTAATTAAACTATTTTTTATATGAAATATTGACGATGGATGTAAAATGAAAGAGCTTCAAAAAATACTTAGTTTGACAATTTAGAAAATTTTTGATGTGTTTGCGGGTTGCCCCAGTTTAAAGGGCTAAACTAAAATTATTTAATAAGTTAAACGAATTACTAACCGATGGTTATCAATAGAAATGAGTTTAAAATCCTTTATTTGAGAACTATATTTAGGAGGATTGCCACGTGTTTAGAAAATAAATTTCAACTTAATTCATCAGTTACATGAAATATTTATAAAAATGTCAGACGAAAAATATTTAAGGAAATTTTAGTTCGAAAATAATTTTTAAGAGGGTTGCCGCCTCTTTTGAAAGTGGTATTTTGTTTAATTATACATAAGTTACATGAAATTGTAAAATACGGTTATCAAAAGAACGAGTGTTAAGAAATCTTTAAGCTGAACATTTTTTTTTTGTTGAAAAATGTTGACTCAAATTATTTAATAAGTTAAATGGATTGTCAAAAGATGGGTACCAATCGAAATGGATTTGAAAAAAATTTATTTCTAAACTGTATTTAGGAGAGTTGCCATGCGCTTAAAAAAATTAAATTCAACTTAATTCATCAGTTAATTGAAATATGTATAACAATGCCAGGCGAAAAATTTTAGTTTGAAAATACTTTTAAAGGGGTTGCCATCTCTTTGAAAAGTCGAATTTGTTTCTTTTATACGAAAGATATATAAATGAAATATCGAAATATTAGTGTCAAACGAATGAGTTTTAAGAAAACTATAGGCTGATAATATTTTTAATTAGAGTTGCCATCTATTTTTTTTTGAAGGTCATCACATCTGCACTGTTGTTTGGAATTTTCAAAATGAGAAGTGAAATTAAAGAACTGGGACTCTACATAGATGTGCACAGGTTTTATTTTTGAAGTTATAGGGAGATTTGAAATTTGATGAAATGAAAACCGACACAATGCGAGACCTCTCATTGGTGGAACAGTTCTTCTCGAGAGCGGGTACAATTTCGAAAAAATGGCTATATCATCGGCGATCATTTTCAAAGAAATATCGTGCCGAATTAGTAACTTCCGCATAGAAAATGCAGGCAGTGGTATTACATATACAAGGGCGTAGCCAGTCCTAGACCTAGGGAGGGGCCATGAGTTTATATAGGCGGGCAAATGATTTAATTAAACTTTATTGTTTTTTGTGTGTGTATATAAATATAATTTTTTAGGTTTGAGTAATGATAAGTGTTCTGGTATCCTCAGAAAATCTTTTTAAAACGTTTGATGTAAGTTCATCTCCCATTTGCTCAACCAATTTGCGATGAACGCCATTCGAGCGGTCTTCTTGCATTGTTGATCGTAGCAAAGTTTTGACCCGCCAAAGTGTGCTGAACGACCTTTCAAAGGACGCAATTTAGTCCGTAAAAGCTCGACACTATATGCAACGGCGCATTCCGTGGAAAGCAATTTCAATTGAATATTATTTCCAATGGTGTTATTAAAGGCCTGATTATGCATACTTCGCATAACTTTGCACTAAAATCAACAGATCGCTAAGTTTTTCAAGTTCTGCGGAGACGTAATTCAATATTTGAGGGCTCAGTTATATTCGTTGCTGATTCTAAAAGCTGTGCAGAGTGATTGTGTTCTTTTATTATTGTTATGATTTGTCTTATATGGTCAGCACACTTATGGTGTTTTCGTTTTTAAAAAAAATTTTGCCTTTTTATTGCCCGGCTGGTAGTGTTTGTTCCCAGAGGGCAATGAGAAGGTAACGTTTTTTGGTAGAAACGAAAACGCAATTAATTACACCCAGGTTTTCCGACTGGAGTGCCTTGGCTACTGGCTCATGAATCTTGCTTTATTTCTAAATTAGGCATAATGACAATATGAATGTGGTCTGTCCAGCTGCAGAGAGCAATACAATATTTTTAAATAATGTACATGCAAGGTAAATGCCCGTTTTCCTTTCCGTCATTTTTATTAAAGTGAACAAAACACAGATCAAAAATCAACCGTCACTTACAATAGAAGTGTACTCGTACGCCCAACTATCTAAAGTTTTAGAAAACTTTTACTGGTTTTGCGTTCTCGTACCCGAAAAACTTGCAAAGTAGGGGAAATTGAGAGAGCAAAATGTGAAAGAGAGCTGCAAATTTCTGGTGGAAAAATTTTTCCCAGCTAAAACTTGCAAGTAAGAAAATCAGCTGATCATAAACAAATGTTTGAAAATATCGCCTTTTTGAGTTACTTATTGCAAATTTTATTATAAATGCTAGTATACAACTAAAAAGTGCGTAAATTTAATAAGCTCAACGTTTGTTGTGTTTATTTTTCGTTAATTTGCTATTAAACTCCAGTTTGTTTACTTTAGTGTGTGCCGACTATGGTTGCCGTACGCCATTTCTCGTTTGTACCATAATTTACCTTTAAATATACCAAAATAGATTTAAATGCAGCATGCTGAAATGTTGTTTTGCTGAAGTTTTCGGCTTTGGTAGGTTGATTGTTGAAATGAAAATTTTATAATTTTAAAGCTACATCTGTAGCTATATCTATTACATTTTCTTTGGATCAATGATGGGTGTTTGGAGGAGATACTCTTGTTTTTGAATGCGTCACCATGTGATGTCACAAATAATTATGAAAAAAATAACTTCTTCATTCCGATATAATTAGTTGGTATTTTAAAAAGGTTTGCGATTCCAAAAGTATGCAATTGTATAAAATGCAAATTTGGGGAAAATGTACCAAACAGATAATAAATTGCCAAATTAATCACCAGTGGTAACTGTGCAAATGATCAGCTGTTTCGAAGGTTGCAAGTCTTTGCAAATTTTGCGTTCTCGTACTTCTGTTGATACTTCGTCTCTTTGAGAGCTCAGAACTTTTGCTGCTGGACAATTTTGTCCTCTCAATCCGAGCACACACCTATTTTCTGTTGCCTCTCTTTACTGAATTCGGGGAATCAAGGCACATAAATACAGGTAGAAGCCAAAATGACGTTGCTCTCATGAGAACCAAACTTTTAACTTCAACTTGTTTTTATTTTATTTCCTATATTTCGTTGTTTTTCATGTGGTGTTAAATATAAAGCAGATACCACTAATTTTTTGTAACCTGCCTCAATGTCCTTCGCGTAAGGAGCGTTGCGAAAGCAGCTGTGGGGCGGAGCTGCAGCGAAATGCCTTGCTGTGCGTTAACCATTTTAAAGGAGCAGATTTCACACCAACACCGGGAGGTACAGGAAAGGCACGTTTGATGCCAAAAGCTGTTCCTATGACCCTTATGCCGAAAAGTCCCTCCAACAACACTACAACTCATAAATCAAATACAGAAAACAACATACAAGTTAACAAATTTTAACTAAACAAAATAAATAAATAAAAATAAACTTCAAATTTACTTAAAATCGTCAACCAGTGAAATGTATTTTTTTATTTTTCCTTACACACGCTCATTTTTAGTTTTACTTTGCCGAAAACT